TTGTTCCTGCCTCTCTTATCCCACAGATAAGTTTTCTGGGGTGGAAGGCTTGTTGTTTTCTGATTTCAGCCCTCTTTCCTAAAGTCTATATCCCTCTTTTGTCTGTGGGGTGGGTGGCGCAGCCTGGTTCCCTGACTCTATTCAAAACTCTCTCACAGTTTCACCGGAAGGGCCTTGCCTCTGTTCTTTTGCTCCAGGCCTATATTCCTGTGGATGCTAGTTGTGGGGCCTTCCAGTTAAGGCACACGGCTGCAAAACAGGATTATTTCCATGTGGAGGGTGATGTCTTTACTGGATTTTCAGTATTTATGTTGCCCTTTTGGTTCTAGGGCCACAGGCTCGAGGCCTGGAGCAGAGCTGAGTGTAGAAGTGGCTGCAGTTGCTGGCTCTGGGGCTGCAGGATAAAGGTTGCAAGCTTCTTGAGGAAGCTAGCAGGCATCCGAGGATAGGGCTTCACCAGGCAGGGTGATTTTTGCCTTCTTGAAAATTGAGATGCAATCCATATAGAAGGCTGTATTCTTTGATCTTCTGCAGCAAGCACTTCAGATCCTCCTCACTTTCAGCAAGGGAGATTGTGTTAAAAATTGTTAAAATTTTTAACAATATTTTGCTTGCATATGATGTTGTTCAATAATTTCCACATTCAGTTGAGTCCCTTTTCCTGGGAATTTGAATATATATGTATTTCAACTGATGAGTACTTTCCTAGTTGAAACATGTAATTGGTTCCTGGAGCCTTATTTTTGGGGGTTTTGGTGTTTTGTTTTGTTTTTTTTTGCCAATGCCTTAAGTACAGCTTAAACTTCTTCCTTCATTACCATTGGCTCCCGGCTCTGAAAAACCAGACTTTGTAATCATTTAACCCCCATTTTCCTGGTGGTGTAATCTAGAAGGAATTGCACTGCTAACCTAAAGGCCTTGCCTTTCTGGTGATTCGAATCCATCAACAGTTCCGAGAAAGAAAGTCAATTTAGCAACTCTTTTCTCCACTCCTCTAGTGAAAACATTAAAGGCTACAGGAGAAAAATGTTGGTCGCATCTTAACCCTGTCTTCCGTTTCCTTTAGTTCCCTTGGAAGAGATTTGATCTTTATCCATCTACCATTTTCCCTTTATATTCTATAGGTGAATTTATCTATAGTTCTCTGAGTCCTGGTGTCATACTTTGTAATGCATTGGGCTGCTCACCGAAAGGTGGAAAGTTGGAATCCACCAGTTGCTTCCATGGGAGAAAGATAGGAAATCTCTTCCTATAAAGATTTACAGTCTTAGAAACCTGATGGAGGATCACTATGAATCTAAACAGACTCAATGGCAGTTGTTGTTGTTAAGTACTACTCATAACAACCCTGTGAACACCAGATCTGAGCCCTACCCTATCCTGTGCCGTCCTCACAATCTCTGACACACTTGAGCGCACTGCTGTGGCCACTGTGTCAATCTATCTGGGTAAGGGTCTTCCTCTCCTTCACCATCCTTCTACCTTCCCAAGCATGATGTCCCTCTCCAAGGAATAGCCTCTCCTAGCAACATGACCAAAGTATGTGAGACAGAGCTTTGCCATCTTTGCCTCCAAGGAGCACTCTGGCTGCATATTTTTTCTATAGGTATTAAAAAGCCTTGGTGGCACAGTGGCTGCTAATTTAAAGGTTTGCCATTAGAATCCACCAGCTGCTCCATATGTGGCAATCTGCTTCCATGAAGATTAAAAAAACAAATAAACAAACAAAACCCACTGCCAGCAAGTTCATTCCAACTCATGGCAATCCTATGTTAGGCTTCTGAAGTTGCAAATCTTTACCACAGGATAGTTTGTGGATTTGAACTTCTGACATTTTGGTTAACAGCCCAATATATTATGCACTCCACCAACAGATTTCTTTTCTGTAAGGATTACAGCCTTGGAAGCCCCACAGGGAAGTTCTACTTTGTTCTATAGGACCTCTATGCGTTGGAATCAACTCAACAGCAATGAGTTTGATTTTTTGTTGATTAGTGATTAAGAGAGTCTCTCAGTCTCTCTCTCTCTCTCTCTCTCCTATCTCACTGCCATCAGATCCTCCAGTAGGTTTTAGGGAGACTGCAAATCTCAATAGGAGATTGCTTATCTTTTCAGCACAGCAGGTAGATTTAAACAGTCAGAGAGGTGAGGTGTTTAGGTTAGCAGCGCATCTCCCTATGGACTATGCAACCGGAGCTCTCTAGTGAGACCTCTCTCCCCCTCTCTCATCTGCCATATATTATTTATTGGAGTTTTAACAAGACATCAAGGAGATACAGTGTCATATGAGATAACAAGAAGATGATTTGTAGATCCTGTTTGTATCTATCTCTTCAAACAGGATCTACAAAGGAAGACAGGCTCAGATGAATAGGTCATTTACTTGTGTGCAGATCAGTCACAATCTACTTTTGAGTCAAGCTCCATTTAAAAGAAGTTTGGGGCTGTTCTTTAGTTCTTTTTCTCTTTAGCTTCAATCCTCATTGTTCAGTAAATGACTTTTGTCTTCTTGGAACTTAAGAAAAAAAAATAAAACAAAAAAACTGCCTTCATGTTTAGATTCAGACTGAATTATGTTTAAGGCCACATAAAGTCCACATTGTTTGCTGCTTTTGAAATGTACTCTATCCCCATCATCCAGTAAAGAAATCTCCTGTCTTAGAAGTATTTGATCTTCAAAACAGTCCCGTGGTACAGATGTTGTTATGTGCCTTCCAGTCAGAATTAATTATCTTGTAGCTGACTCTCCAGTGCGTTTTTAGAGGATGTCAGTTACATAGGAGGAGACTGACCATCTTTCTGCTAATGAGCAGCTAGTAGAGGGTACACATAAGGCAGAAATTATTAGAATCAACATTTTATAAAGGATAAAGATGAGACTGATCTTGTTGTAAGCAACTTAATACAGGCAAACATGCTCTAAAAATAAGCAACATAGTTTCTTGATGCCAAGTTGTATATTTTTCTGTTTTTATAAATTTGTGCTGTGTCTTAAAATTCATGGTGTTGTTGTTGTTATGTGCCGTCGAGTCGCTTGCGACTCATAGCAACCCTATGTACAACAGCCCTAAACTCCGCTCTGTCCTGTGCCAGTCGCACTCTCTCTGACACTCCCATCCCAATTATCCCAGTCCCCGAATCAATCCACCTCATAGAGGGCCTTCCTCTCCT